GCCTCCTTTGGCTGTCTCTCCTTGCCTGGCCTAGAGCCTGGGGTGCGGCACTAGCAGGAGCAAGGGGCAAGCCCAGTGCCAGGACTCCAGGGAAGGACCCTTCCCCCAGGCTCTGTCCCCCAGTCCGAATCCAAAGCTGCTGGCCCAGACTTAACTAGGTTCTCCCCCTAGGCAGTAAGGCCCTTTGAACCAATATCCCCCTAAAGCCCATGAGGCTCTGTGCTTTCGAATCTGGGATGAAGAACATGACTGGGCTCAGGCCGGGGCCAGGGGTCCCTGTCTTCCCCACCCTCAACTATGGAGAAATCCAGAAATCTGACTGCTCCATAAGGGGCCTGGGAGGGGCCCCATCCTTCCACAACAGCCAGAAATCTAGAAGTGGAGAGCACCCTGCCCTACCACCCCGCCTCCATCATCCCAGCCTCCTGCAAAGATCCAGGTTGAGGGAGGAGGTGAATCAGGGTCATGCTGAGGGTCTGAGGACTTAGGGGAAGGGAGGGACCACTTGCAGGAAAGTGGTGAGGCCAGCCATCTCTCAGACCTGAGTTAGCTCCCTACCGGATTTCCTACTATCTCACTTTCCACCTCTCAGGGATAAGTATGGAGACTTTAAAGTAAGAATGTCCAAACCCATAGGGGAGCCACCATATACCACTGCTCCACCTTCTCTTTCTGTAGCTCAGAACCAGCTAAGTCCATGGATCATCAGAGCAAAGGGGAGGGGGTGGCAGGAATGTCTGGACATTTGACTGGAAAAATACATCCCTGCCTTACTGCTGTCCCCTGGGTCTCCCATCCCAAGACCTCCAAAGGGTGCCATCCCAAGGTGCCACCAAGGGGGTGCCCAGCCGCACCTGCAGCTCACACCAGGCCACCTCCACTGTGGTGTCAGTGTCCAGCCCTCGATACACCGTCTTGAATGAGCCACGTCCAATCTCGATGTCAAACTTGAGATATCGGCCGTCCGGAGACGTTGCCACAGCCTGGGTCTCCATGTCCTCCTTTTCCTCCTGCTCTCGTCGCCTCTCCTGGGCCGCGGCTTCGGGGGCCCTCGGCGGATCCCGGGACCCCGGGCATCCCACGGAGCATGCGAGCTCCGGATGCTCAGAGTCTGTAGCCTTCACCAGGGCTGCCCCAGTCCACGTGCCCTCCGGGGGCTCTTCGGAGTTAGGCGGTGGGCTCCTCGCCGGGATGAGACCAGCGGAGTCCGGAGGATCTGGGGGCTCCGGAACGGGTGAGGCTGGCTGGGACCACGAGCTCAGCAGCCCCAAGTCGACCGAGCTCCGGCGGCTGAGTCGGGAAGAGCGCGGCCGGGGCTCAGCCTTCCCGGAGAAGCGGCGCGCCCGGCGAGGAAGGGGCCCGAGGCGGGATGGCCCAGTGGCAGCGAGAGGGGGCGGAGGCCGCAGCACTAGGTCGGCCTCCGCCTGGGACATGGGGACTGCGTTCTCTGGGGTTGGAGGTGCCAGCATGGGTAAGGGCCCGGCGGCTGGGCAGGAAGCGGCCTGACAGGCAGACTAGCTGGCTGCGCAGCACTCGGGCTGAGCTACTGGGGCCCCAGTCCCCGGCTTCCCCGCCCCGTCCCGCCCGGTGACCCGCCTCCAGCCGA